ATCGTGGATGTAGAGCAAAATGTACTCATACTTCACTTTATAACATGTTACGGAAATGGAACAATCCTGGCCTGAAGGAGCCAGATTTATGGTTTTGTTCTGAAAATGTGCTGGAGGACTGTGCTGTTGAGTTCATCCTCTGCTCGGCTCTGGATGGAAAACAACATAGAACTCTCTCACTGGGTCACACTGCACCAGAAACAAGTGTTGGTCAACTCTTTGCTTTTATTACTTTTTTTAATCTTCATTCATGAAACAGGTTTCCTCCGGGTGCTACGGTTTCTCCTACCACTAAAAACTTGCACAATAGGTATGAATGTAAATGAGAGAGTGAATGGATGATGTTGATTGGGAGCTGATGGTCCAGTGTGTTCGGTGACTCGCTTCCGTTGTCACCGTGTGTGGAATGATTGGAACAATATCTGAACTCTGAACATTGTAAAGCGCTTTGGGTGGGTCTGTAAAATGCACTATATAAATAAAAAATACTTACTTACTTACTTACATATTATTACCAACAAATGTTGTTATCCTTATAAGGTTTTGCCTGGAGATAAATGTCCGACATAGAAGTGTGGGAATATCTAAAGGTGTGGAAAAATGCAGAATTCCTCCAGCGAGCAAAGTTTGTTTTGGATTAAGCCTTATGCAACAACTAGACATCTGGTTTAAATGAAACTTCAGGAGCTGAGCAGGAAAAATCAGGCCAGGCCTTCATGTGGCCAGCGTCTCATGCACTGTATAATTTAGTCTGACTGCCTGTCATGCACATATAGCGGCTGTTTGTTCCCTCAGCACTGGCACAGTCTGACACAACTGAAAGAACGAATGTCTTAACCAGGATTCATTTTTGAAATAACTGGAAATGTTGTAATGAGCTTGAAATTAGGCACGACACGTTACATAAGGGAAAAAAAACACACATTTTATATAATACTTGTTTATATGTAGGGCATTGAAATGGCATTTAAGATTTGATTTGTTTGGGAAACCTTTTTTTTGTTTCAGGCAGCATTTCAGATTCATGCATTTAGAATCTTGAACAGTCTTCCTGAAAATGTGAGACAGGTTTCTGCTCTGATAATGTTTAAATCCAGGTTATAAACAGTTCTCTTTAGCTGTTCAACAACAGGGATTTTATATTCACTGTTTTTGGGATTATTTATAATTTGAATGCCTTATCTTGTTTCTGTCAGCACTTTGAGTTGCCTTGTGTTTATGAATTGTGCTATACAAATAAACTTGCCTTGCCTTTCAGTTAAAAATCCCTATAAATTATACATAAATAAATTCCGTCTGGTTTACATATATATATACACACTTACACACCTACACACTTACTTGACATAAGAACATATAACAGATAAAATAATTATGAATACATATAAATAAATATACATAATTAATAATAATTATGATGAAATATTTGTGTCATGAAGGAGAACAAAAAAACCAATTGAACATGGTGCTTACATTAACTTTCTGCTCAAAGATGTAAATTGTGATCTATATGTTGCGTATCAATAACTCTTGACTTTTGTTGAGTGTTGAGAACATCACATCAGCGGGGCACTATCCGTCCATGGTGTAGAATTCTATTTCAGTTGAAGGACTGGTGCCAAAAACCTCGACACAACAACAAAATGTCCAAATGTTTTTCCAGCTCATTTTTTGACAGTGGTTAGATTCACAAAACCGCCATATTATTATTTTGTGTCAAAGTCCCTCCCACTGGCTGACCACATGCATTAGTGTTTTGAATTTTTCCAACCCCAAACTTCAAACAAAAACACAAACCACAAAATAGGTTTGTGTTTTTGTATACTTTTGCACATACTGTACTGTACATTTAAAAAAAATAATGAATCACTACTACTACAACTTCTTTCACTACTTTAGGACACCTTCAGGAGAAAATTATGAGACTATAGTCGACGAGAAGATGTGGAACTTTTTTTTAACGCGATTAATGTAAAAAATGAATTATCGTGCTTTATCGCGATCATTTTGAGAGCCCTACATCTGATATATCTATTGGTGATCTGGACAACTCTGCAAACATGTCACATTTCTTAGAATTTCGCTGTGGTTTTCTTCCCCTGATATATGCAGAGTTGCGGTGACCTATAGCTCACATTCAATGTATAGCTGCATTTCCACCGCAGGAGTTCCAGGTAAAAGGAGCGGGGTGGAACTTCTGCAGGAACCTTGGTCCTCTCAGTGTCCGTGTCTCCACTGCAGTAGCACCACTAGGCAACGTCATGAGTTTCGATTAATGCATAAGCGAATCTCATTACGCCAAACCCGTTATTATTATAGATCCATGCGCCAAACCCATTTGTTTAATTTACGGTCGTAACCACTCCGGTTGTTGTGGTCTTTGAGTTTTTTCATAGTCGTGCTTCAGTTTTTTAAAACTTTTCACGGGTTGTTTTGGAGTGTGATACCCCAGTGCTTCGAGGTGAAGCTGATATGTCTTAATATATGTTTTCATTTCGCCGTGATGCTGTGCTGTTGTTTTCTGTTTCCAGTGGTGTCTGCTAGGCTAATGCCGCCGGGCTACTGCTGCTGAATGCCAGTTGTTATGGTGCTTTCTGCTGCCGTCTGAGCCTGCCTTAACCTCCACCACTGGGCTAACCTGAAGTCCCACCAGGGCCCAAAGGAGTAACGAGGAGGGACTCCGTTGGGCCCCGTAAAAGTTCCCGTATAAATGGCCCTGTGGGAAAGTTCCTGCAGTGGAGACACGCTCCGACGGGGCTGGCCCTGGAAAATTACCCCGAAGTTCCTGCGGTGGAAACGCGGCTTATGTGTCTATAGATTTGCTCCACATACTCAAGGAAACTGTAAAATCACAATAACACGAGAATGTATCTTGCAGTGCCAGATTAGTGTACTGTGTTCACTTTACCTTATCTTGATTTCTATGGTAGATTATATTTCTGTCTGGGATGTTTAAGGTCAGGTTTTTGTCCTGATGTGCTTGTTATTATGACCCTAAACGGCAGGAGGTCTTGGGTCTGATGTAAGAGGCTCCAAAGCAGTGGGGGACACTGAATGTACTGCATGGTGCTGATTTATCGGCCTGTAGGTGTCCATAGCATGCTGGTAAAACGTTCTGGTCTATGGGGAAGCCATTTTCAGTCTTTTGTGGTACACTATAGAGTATGGAAACCACTTTGAAAGCATTAAAAAAATCACTTTCAACACATCGGCTCACCTCTCAATTTATTTTTGTATAGCCCTAAATCGCAACAGAAGTCGTCTCAGAGCACTTAACAAAGTTGTTGATTTGCCAATAACAGACAAATCTCTCCATATTTATGAGCTGTAACTTAGCAAAGTGAAGTCACTTGTCTCCTGGGTAGATGTATAGATTCAATGCCAAAGTGTAGAACACTATGAGCAAAAGCATAAAGCTGACCCTCTTCCAGGAAAATCTAATGCACCTTTAAGCACTTAAGTCTAAGGCTGAATCCTAACTTATAAACATTAGCTCCTTCTTATCTTTCCTTCACCCATTTGTTGACATTAAATTACCTAAATGGAATTTTAAAAGTCTTTAAGTCTCTCCGGACACTGAACTTGGAGCTGCCCCGTCTCATGAAAGATCAACGTAACAGACGAGCAAGAACGAGGAAGAGGAAGGTTATTTTTCACATTTCAGGTGTATCTGTACGTTTCTTTTGGTAGATCTACTAAAATTCTATAATAAGATCAGGATTATTGGACATTTAGCACTAAGAACAGACTGCTTTGATATCACTACTATTACTATATGTAAATGCTGTCTACAGAGTAATTAAACTTCTTTCAGTCTTGTTATTGCAAAGTAACAATGTCAGTAAATTGTAGACACTTTCTAAGAGTAAGTGAATAACTAAACTAAATATGTAACTAAAGAAGTAACAAACAAAAAACAAAAGATGTATCATGTAAACATAAGGTTTATTGCTATTGTGCAGCTGCATCCAGACATTGGATACTTCGGAGCAACATCACCATTATCTTTACCAAAAACAAAGACACAGACAAATTAGCACTTCTCCCTGTGATTTTGCACACATGGTCCTGGGTTTTTTCTGTTGTCGTAAAAACATTTAACAGTCTTTGGTGGCTAGCGAACAAGATTTCAGTGTGAAAAATCTCCCTCTTCTGCTACTATAGGCACTGTTGTCATGCCATTGTTTATGAATACAGAGACAATCAGGAAATAGCAACTGCTCACTAGCTTTCGATTCGATCAGGACGTTTCAACAGTATATACAATTAGTAATCTTTTACAATTGAGATTTACAGGCAGACAGGGTAGACAGATAGACCTATTGTTCCCCAAATCTTTACAATTATAATTACAACAAATGATTTTTCTGTACAAAACATACAAAAATAGCAGGATTACTTTCTTCCCCATAAGCAGCAAGCCCCAACTGCAGACAATACAAGATTACACAGTGTCACTCATTATGGAGATTTAGTGAAAAGCAGTCTCCACCCCTGCAACTCCCGCAGGTCAGTTGCCATGGTTACGTGATGCACAGAAGCCGTGTTATAGTGTACTTTATGGTTTTGAAATGATATGAGATTCCATAACACTTGTATTTTTTTTTTCCATCTGCACATCGGGGCTATTCTTTAGGAATGCGGAGGACCGTCTCGAGTCGCACTCCGCCAACAGTGATCAGCCACATTTCAGGGCCAGCCCAGTCAGTCAGCACCCATTTCTTGGCTTGTTGAGGAGAGAGAAAAGGGCTTTCTTCTCAGTCTGAACAAAGTGCTGGTCTAGTCTAAACGTGACAGACTAGGTTTTTTCTGAGGACGGGCCGGACATTGCAGCGCCCGTAACTCAGCATCTCCGGTCCAGCGCTCGTCAACAGATTAAGTTCAAGTCCCTTCTGGCAATTACAAGACGAATTTCCCCCGTACGCAGAGGGATTCATCAACAAAACATGGAGGTCCGTTAGCTTTACTCCAAGGCTCTGCTCGCCCCAAAGCAGAGCCACTTATACGGCAGAACCGGAGCCGCACATTTGAAGCTGCTTGCACTCCGTGTTCGCCGGCAAGCTCTGATTGTCCAATGGAACGTCCGTGGGGATGCGAGATTGGAATTTCTCGAGCTGTTCGGGGCTGGCCAGGTTCTTGAGTAGGTGGTTTTCCCGCTCCAGCTGGTTGTTTTTCTCAGCCAGCTCCTTGATCTGCTCTTTGAGAATCTCCACCTCCTCACGGACGGCGTACATCAGGTGGTTTTTGACAAGGTCCTGCCAAAGAAAGAGAGGAAGGTGGAGAAAGGTTAGGGCTGGAGGCACAAGATTTAAGATTATGGCTCTGGGTGTCGACTAGAACTAATACTTTTTTATTTAATACAACTGATATTGCCTGCACAAGTTTTGCTAGCGGCAGGTTTTACATAACATTCTCAACCTAGTGTTTAAGAACAGATCATGAATTCAAATGGCTAAAATATTGTATGTGATGTCAGGATGGGCTTACATAAGCAATTTGCCTGATTATTTTTCTTTAGTTGTAATACAGTCAATGAATGCAATATGCCATTAATCATAGAAAAAATCCACCAAAATAAAATCCAGTAATCCTAAAATCTCTTCACAGTTTTTACTTAATCTGAATGAACATAAGTAGTTAGGCTATAAACATAGTACACATTAAAGCTGGAGTAACTTTTGTTTCATAAATATAGCAGAGAAAGTCTTTTAAAAGAAACATTTAGTGAACAAATTCGACCACATGCTCTTTATCTTAGAAAACATGTTATCTTTCACCTACTGAGAGCTGGTTGGCTGAGTGAGGGCTGTTACCCTTTTTTAACTGAAAAAGCTGATCTAAAGATGTGATAGTGGCTAAAAATAAATGCAGTGAAAACTCGTGATAGAAACAATCTGTCTGGTTACAAAGATACTGTAGATCTAGACTGTATTACATAATTATATTTTGTGCATGCAAAGTTGGATACTGCAGATTTAATATTGCGCTTGTCTTATGTAATGCAAAATAAGCTTGATGGTGTCAACTTACCATTGCTTGTTCTATCTTGTTGTCAATGGCCACAACGCTAGCACCAGAGGCACTGCAAAAAGAAGAAAAATACATAAATCACACATTCCACGCCGTGTCTTCAGGGAACATAACATTTACTGCTTTCTGTGATCAGGAAATGCGATCGAGATTTGCAAACTAAAAGTCCACTAGGTACGTTTTTATTGCTAGGTAATATTAATAAGATTAGTTTTCATCTGACGTTCTTTTCTTAGGTTTAGAGTAATGAATGAATGAATTAAATGGCAGAGTGAGTTGTAAGATTGCAACTATGTGGGGACATTGGCACACTGGCCTAGTCAATAACAACTTTATACTGTTCAAACAAAGCGTCCAAAGTGCGACTCCGCGGTGAAGTCTAACAAATGCCTTTACAAGGGCATGAGACAACCACCAGCATATACAATAACAGCAACGTAACAACGTCAGAGTCCGAGAAGTCATCCCAATGCAGCACACAGAGCCGTAATCAGATATTTACCTGTTGTCCAGTTTAACCGATACTACGTCCCCTCCAAGTAACGAGGAGAAGAACGAGATGGAGAAGTTGTGCAGCTGGTAGACCGCCACTTCCATTGGTGTCTTTGCGAACATCTCTGTGCTCATGTTGAGTACAAGACTCGTCTGAAAATAACTTTTCGCCACGTTTGCAGCTGGCGGGTCACCTCAGTGAAGATAAGGTTGTTGTTGTTGTTAGATTTCGATGCACTACTCAAAGCCAGAGGCTGAGTGCAGTGCTGTGTCAGAGGAGGAGGTTTACTGCGCTTAAACACAAGCGGCTGTCTGCGCTATTTCTGCCAGCGCCGCTTTATGTAGGCGCGCTCTGACGTCAGCTGACGCGCGCATCTCATTATGCAAATGTGCCCCGGGGTCAGCCCGCTACTACGAGCCCCAGGCACAATCTCGTCTGGATCTGGGACTTATGAGAACATTTCTGTTTCTGACCTTCGCAATAGAGCCTAAAGGCAGATGACAGAGTGCGCTCTTAGCCAGAACAACAAGTCCATGGAACAGTATTGATAGAAGACTAGACTGCAGTAGTCGTGTTTGTGTTGTGTATGCATGTTCATACACTACACAACACTGCTTAATTGCACTGTTTTCAAGTTTGACATGAAACAATGTCAAACTATTTCACCGAAATGTATAGGTTTATGGTTGTATTTGTTGATGTATTTGTGTACTACACCATAAAAGAGCAAATGGGATGAAATAAATAAATATCACTCTTTCACAGAACAGTGAGCACCTTGATTAGTACATGTTGTTTGAACTTTAAACATTGTTGTCGGTGTCTGTAGAGTAAATGAATGAATGAGGTCGCAGTGTCCTATATCTGATCAGACTGTTTACCTATATGATTGATCGGTCTGTGCCTCATTAGTTCTCATGTCTTTGAACACGGTGTGCTCAGTGCAGGAGCTGTTGTTATTGTTCCTTCACCTTATGGCCACCGAGGGTATTTTTCCATCGCCTCATTCTGGTAACTTTCCTCAGCCAGGGCTCTAACAGCCTCTAGCGGCCACAATGCAGACTGCAACAGCGCGGGCGGTAAAACACTTTTCCTCGAGGTTGTTTACAAAGGGAATTTTTCGTGAACTTTCTCACAATTTTCTTTTGCAGGAAATGTTCTGGTAAACAAAAGTTGTTTTGTCGACTAGATAGCATACAGAGAAAGCACATTCCTGGTGAGAACAATACGTTTTATTCTGAATTTAACCCGTTTGCATTATTATTAAGCTATAAACATAAAATCACAAGGGCATGGGTTTTCAGTACTTTATTGTGCTGCTATATTTGGATTCAATAAGAGATTACAACTCCAGCACACTCCTTGTCTTTGTGAATTATGTGCATGGAAACTGGCCCCAAATATCTATACTCTTTACAGACATACAGAGCTTCTCCTTTCTGGAGTTATTATCACAGTAAACAGGGATGATAAGTTATCTTATCCTCTCATAGACATCAAGAAGAATAAATTATTCTGTATTCCACCAAGAAAAGAATGTGTATGTCAAATCCACTACAAATGCTGTACTTCCTTGACTGTAAGTGTGCCTGTATACACACTGCACCAGCTAAATTTGAAGAGTAAATAATTGTATCCACTCATAACTTAATAACAACGTGTTATGATCTGTTTGACAATAAAGCTCCTACTAAAACTTGGTGATGTCAAAATACTGTAGCAAGATTAATAAAAAAATCAAACCCCAAAATGACAAAGGATCCTCCATAACAAAATAAAAATACATGCATTCTCTGCATTGTTTGTTTCAGCGTTCAAAGAAGGAAAAAAGTAGCGGCACAAAGCCCAGCAAGTACTGCACTTCTTTCAAATGATTACATGTAAAGTGAGCCTCTCGTTTTCCTCAAATGGATTGGAAAAGAATTCACATAAATTAAGGACTCACCGATATAACTCCTCTCAAAACCGATATGAGTACCTTAATTTGAGTACCTGCTGATACCGTTACGAGTACTTTATTGTGCTATCCCTGGGAATAACTGAAATTGATTATGTTTTATTTCTCATTCAAACAATAAAAAAATAGAAATTGTTTTAGCAGTCAACACTAAGAGCCACTGTCATATTTCATTCATACAAATGCTATGTTGTAGAGTTGGTTGTTTTTTGTGCTCCGGTGCTAGCAAAGGTGCTATTCTCCATGTGGTGGTGAGTTTTCACATATTTGATAAAGTTGCATTATAATATCCGATACCAGGATTGGATATTATAATGCCAGTTGAATATGCGGGGCCTCTTTTGTACCAGCTGTGCTATTGCCAATACTTGCCTTACGGAAAAATAAAAAATCTCAGCCCACATTCTATGTAATGGAACACTGAAATAGTTTGTATTTATGGTTACTTGTTCGCAAAAATAATGTCTTTAAATGAAGTATGCATAGTTGCAAACGTGTTGATTTTGGTCTTGTGTTATAAAACGCTGTTGTTCCAGTTGGATTGAAGGGGAAACTTGTGGTTGTCCAAAAACTTGCGGTAACATTTGGCGAAATTTGTCGTGCCATATTTGAGTGGAGCACACACTGCCTGCCCTTTGGTGAGTCATTCTGGACCGGGCTGAGAGCCATAGTTTTCATCAGATGTGCCACAGAAAGCGGTCTTATATAAGAGTCGGATTCACTTGTACCAGAGGCAACTGCACAACAGTCCAGCCTCATGCTCCCTCCTTTTGTCTCGATGGGCTGCGAGATATGGATACTATTTAGTGGTTTGCAATGTTGTTGAGCAATGTGCTTTTCTCGGCACAGTGCATACATTTGGAAATACACGGCCAAGTCTGCTGTTATATCAAGCCAAAAGAATAGAATTGATGAGAATGGGGCAGGACCGTGTGCTGTATATACTGTAGATGGACATTGATAACCCCCTAGCTCAACGTACCCCAATAAGGAAGTGCTCATGGATGAAGTTTTGCTCTAACTTGCTCTTATTGACTTGTATTGAAAAGTATATTCCTCTTGCTCAGTAACTGTTTGCGTCACACTCACCATTTTGGGCTTTAAAAATCAATGGTTAAGCGCTGTCTATGATCCCGGTGGTTATTGTGATAATGTCTGTGTCAATTCAAATATGACCATAACTGACCAATCAAGAGCATAATTTCTCAGAATTTGGCTAACGCTAATGAGTGGCGCAAGTTGCAACTTGGACGTTGCTACGAAAATGGTTTGAATACATTTGGCTCCACATTCTCGCCCAACTAACCTTCTCAAGCTAGCTGCGTGACATCAGCAGTTGGTCTTAGTTTGTGACTTTTAACAGATTTTCAAATTTTTATCCTGTCTGGGAGAATTTGCCATTTGACAGAAACAATGTTAAAGCTCAGTGTGATATTGTCAAGCTGATATTTTGTATTGCATTGTAATAAAACAAGTATAAATGTCTGTTTTTAACATTCGGTTTCTCAAATGTAAATTTTTTTTTTTTGCATTGCTCAAAAAAAAAAAAAAAAAAATCATTATATATATCATGTTGGTGTTGGGCTGGCATTTCTTTTACAAAAGCTAATTTACATGATAAAATGGTCATTTCAAAATGTAAACTATTCAGATGTCCTTGTGATTTGCAGCTATTCAAAATGCAAGTTAGAGTGAATGAAAAAAAGAAAATAACCTTCATCGCTCCAAAGGGAATTTATTTTGCAAACGAGAGCACACACAAAAAAAGGCACATAAAAACCAAATACATTGCTTTTTATACGCTAGATCTTGCAGCCCTAATTAAATAGCCAATAAATTAGTTAGTAGGATTTAGGGCTTCAAACATAAAATAATGTTGAGTTATGAAAAAGAAGTCGTTTCTTTGTTATTGACCGAAGAAAAAATGAGTTGAACAAAAATGAGTTGAGTTTGGTTGAAGCTGCACTCACCGGCGCTCTGGGGGCCTCTTGAACAGGCTGGGGGAGTAAGGGGGAGAATAGCTCAGGACCCTCTCCGGATAAACCTGGGGGTAGTGCTGGTAATGGCAGCAGAGCCTAGGTCCCGGCTGCTCCAAATAGTGAGGGCACAAGGAGGTCCTGGGAGAGCCGAAATTCACCTGAGGAGCTTCTTGGTAGCGCGCCTGCCTCTGTCCCATCTTCACTATCCTCTGGGAGACTGTGCTTTTGCCTCTCATTGTTCCTGTGCTGGTCGCCACAAAGAGACGATTGTGCTGCACGTGTGAACACATAATAGTCCGTACCACACTCAGACAGGCACTTCTGTGGATACACTGGCTGCATGAAAAAACGCCATGTTCGCCAATCCATAGAAGTATAGCAAGATTTGAACTGCGCCGGAGTGGACCCATCACAACCAAGCCATTACAACACCAGGAAATGAAACATCAAACCAGAACATGCAGCGATTAGCTTAGTAGAAAATATTTTATCTTTTGCTGACGGTACGTGTACTGTATGAAAGAGCCTTGTCTCTTTTTAACGCTTTTTACTGAGGGTTGGTTCTTTCTTCTTCACTTTTCTGTTTGAAAAAGCTAACCAAAACTGAAACAGAGGCCAAAAATACATATGAAAATTGTGAATCGGGGGCCAGCAACCGTTTGAAGTTCAATTTTTTGTGGTTTGAAAGTTAGGTACCTCCGCTTTAAGTAGCAGAATACAACATGAGCTCCTGAATCTAGGGAACTTTCAATACAGTGACTTATTTTTTATTTTTTTATTTTTTTATGAATCCCCTTGTTTTTAGTAGTCCTATCAGTAATCTCTGATATGTTTTGAGGGCTCAAAGTCAACAAATATTTTCTGAAAAACTCTTTGAACGAGTTAAATGCTCTACGTACTGTATAGTATGCTACAATGTTGTTCCAGGAAGCAGGAAATAATAATCCTGCTTACACATCTGCAATGACAGATTTTGCCCAAGTAAATGCCACTTCAGCTGTCCAGCTATATGAACGACCAAGGCAATTTCAGTTCAAGCTGCATGCTGAGACACACAAAGCGATAACATAAAACAAATTCATGAGTTATGTAACATTGAAATTAGTATCTGCAGTCATTAATCTTGGTAAGCTTTTCATTTTGACACAAAGGTTTTGTGGCTTTTGTTGCGCATTAGTTGTTATATAGGTGTGTAATTAGCTGCAAATGGAAAGAGATGCCGCACAATGGGCCGGTGTCATCTTCGCCGGCTCAAAGGCTCGACAAGTCTGAATATGAAATCAAAAGGATTACGCGTAGCCTTAGAATAATCTCATTCATCAACACCCAGCGACCGCCGCCTGGTGTAATAACACTCTCCAAACCACAAACCGACATCTAACTCTGATTTATATTTGTACAAAGACAATAATATTAACCAAAGTATTAGAACAAAATACAACACATTATGTCCCTATTTTTTTTAGTACAATGTCCTATTGTACATAGCAGTCTGTAAGTGGCTGTCCTTTTCTATTGGCTAATAATTGTGTTACAAATTAGCAGCATGTTTGAGCAGGTCGTCTGTAGGAGCCTCGTAAAGACCAGACGCATCATTTAATCCTGGGTGGAGTATTTTATCATTCATTCCAAGATTATGTTCTGTTTTTAAAATTCCACGTGTGAAACAGTCATTTCTTTTGTTGTTCACGAGGTTACATCATTCATAATAACTAGTCACAGGTTCAAATAATAAGTAATAAAAGTTTATTTGCATTCACGACTGCATTCCCACTATGAGAAGTGCGATAAAATGAGCCATACTTATATCTATTTTAGTTTAACTTCATTCTTAGTGACATAACACACTTTATCATTGACAGGCAGACAGGAAACATCCACATACTTCCCATTTGACTTCTGTTCCTTTTGTCATGAATCAACCCTTGAGCTGCCCTAACCCGAACCAGCCGCTGCTGTTTGCAAAGAGGATTTTCTTTAAAAGTAAAAAAAAAAAAAAAGGATTGGAAAGGATGATGAAACACATACTGACAACACAGGGACAATAAAAAAAAACACAAAATGGGCACTGGAAGTATATATGCTGTAGAGTGATATAATAACTAAATCAAAAAGTCTCCTTCCCACCAATTCAAGCCTTTAAGATACATGGTCAAACTGTTCAATATTGCTTAAGTATATATGTAGTATATATATATATATATAAGTGTATATGTATGAATGTAATTTCTGCTTGAATTAATGAAAAATAATCCTTCAGAAAAGCAAGATGGGGGTAGGTAAGGCCGATAGAGTTAACAGAAGTAGTGTCAAGAAGAAACTAGAGCGATAATTGTGAGAGGGAGTGGCTTAATGACCAAAACAACAACAATCATGACGATAACCAAATCTATTTTTTTGTACTTATGTCTTGCCTCTTGGTATTGAGCAACAGGGGATGTTCAAAAACATATGCACAGAACACAATGTGCTGCACTACAGAGAAACGTTTTTTTGTTGTGTCACGGTACCATTCTGTATCAACACACCAGCGACAGCCTAAATCCATGATAAAGAGGTTTGCTTGTGCTTGGTTATACTTGTGCAAGCAGAACCAAATAATCCTAATGGCGTCATGTGAAAAATCATGAAGCAACGTCAAGGAGTACTTTGTAGGTCACAGTTCAACACTTGACCTGAGTAGCTTAAGCAGTAACAGTATGTTCTAGCTGCACATAACCATAACACCCAATAAGGACCCAATCTGTGGCTAAGTGCAAACATGCAGAAGACCAGACTGCAGATGCACCATGGGAGAGGGAAAGGTTAAAAGCTCAATTGGCCATGAAGTGTTTAAACCTTGTCATTAGCCATGTGAGGGGCCCCTGGATTTGCTAAGGGCCCGCAAAAGTCAGCGCATTGATTTTTACCATCGCTCAGAACCAATTAAGATTATATAAGTCAGAGTCAATGCAGAAAACAACACTACCCACAAAGAGCCTATACTTTAACATTGGCAGGGACTCAATATTATTTCACTATTGAGGTAGATATTCACATTTTGTTGCTATTTCTTTGTTCAAAGTCACAATCAGTTAAGTTAATAATGTTAGTTTAGTTAAATTGGGTAAGGCTAGGGTTGCGGATAAGGCAAAGGTTAGCTTGTAGCAGGACCAAGATTGTAGACAAGGCAGAAGTTGAGTCAGACTAATAGTTGTAGTTTAGAGATAATTTCTCTGTTATTCGGGGGCAAATTCACATGAAACAACCATAGACTGTAAATATTAGGTAGTTATATTAAGTCAGTAGATATCAACTATTGTCTAAACATCTTCTCATAAAGGTGTTTAGAAGTGGTGGCAATATCCAAAAAAGGTGTGCAATAATAATGTTTGGATTACACCTTCTGTGGACTGTTTTGAATACTTTGTACTTGTGTGTCTGTTGTGTGGTTATTTTGAATTATATTTTAAGTATTTCATAGTTTTTCCATTGTTATTGTTTTTTCATTGATTTACTTCTATTGGGCAGACTTCATGATCATTAGGATTTTCATTTTTATTTTTTTTATTATGGTTGTATCTTTCTTTACTTTAGATCAAGTGAATTGGATAAGAATCTTACAGCGGGTTTAGTCTAATCACAATCAAAAAATGATCTGGGGGAAACAACATCTAGCATTTTCTTTCTTCAACATCTCTTTCCCAAACTGCTTCTTTCCCATGGACTCGTATTGCCATCTACCCTCCAACTGAAATAGAATTCTAGAACATGAACTCAACCTATGTAGGCAGTGGTGCAAAAAAAGGGGAGCGCACACTCGGGCTGGCACCTGAGCTAAGTACTGTTGACTGGATTTGATCCCGGAACAAAAGGTGAAAGAGGTCGAGGCCATCTGTCCACATTCATACCCGCCTCGCTGCAGTGTCCTCTTCCAGCTGTCTATATACTGCTGCGTGGTGTGCGTGGTCTGCACTGGAATCCTAACGGCAGGCTAATGGGTACATGCTGGACCAAATTCTTCAGCCAAAAAAGAAATCTCTTATAAGTAATGGGAAAGTGGCTTGATGTTTCGTGACACGCAAAGCACCCGGCTGTTGTCTTGAGGTTTTACTTTACAAACACAGCGCTAATGAAGTGGTTGGCGGTGTCTAACGTGTTGAAATGTGTCTAGGGAGTTGCCCATTTTTAAAGCTTAAGATCATGGCCAAAGAGCACAGCCTAATTCATCCCATTACAACACATAGATGACAAAATGGTATTTTGAGGACGGCGAGAGGCCATTAGAACAAGTGGAGACATACCGTTCTCTCTTGGTCTGCTTCGTGGGTAAATGCTACATCCCTGGAGTAAAAAGTAAATAAAGTTCAGTGAAAAATATGTATAGGAACAGTGAATGTCATAGGCACACCTGTTCCAGAGCTCAAAGAAAAGGGAGCAGGAAGTTCTATCATATGCACAAGAAGGAAGCTTGAAATTGTATAAAATGCACAAAAAGGAACCCTCGAAATTTAGTCAAATGCAAAAAAGCTTGTGTTTTATCATTTCACCACATCTGCCCCCTTGTGGCTCTATACGGTTCAACGTCCACCGCCAACTTGGTTCTATCTACAGTAGATTAGCCTGACACAGATTTTATGATCATTGCTCTAATTTCGTCATCTTGAACTATGATCTAATACATTTGACAATAACAACACTGTGCACTGTTTATATAATCTGCTATGTGCTCGGTCGGCATGGTTTGGTCAAAATATATAATTGCTAAATTTCTGATCAACATTGAGATCTGATTTTTGACGGTCCTTTGAAAAGTTTCATTTTGTCAGGTGCATTTGAGACACGTTTCGAGAGTTCTGACCCATAGCACATACATTTCCTTTAGTAGAAATGAAAAATTCACTGCAAAAAAATTGTATGTGTAGGCAAGGCAAGGCAAATTTATTTGTAAAGAAAAAATACAAATAAATAGTGCTTATGCCAGTCAACAAGAAAAAAGATACTATACTTCATGGTGATAATTATTTTTACTGCAAATGGGAAATAAACTGACTGAATATGGCTTGTTCCATGGACAAATCTTTAAAAAATAATCCCTAAACCAGACACATTTTTCCGAGTGAATCATTCCCCAACTTCAATAAATGCAGTCTTTCTGATGCCGACCACGGACATTGCAAGTTTGATTTCCGATTAATCGTGGAACATTTTATTGCTCGTCCTTGGGCCTTCTCATGGACCCTCATTTTCCCACCGT